GGCCGGAGCCCCTGCAGGCGGCCCGCTCACCCCCGTCCTGTCCCCGCTGTCTCCTGGCCTCGGGCGCTGTGTTGTGTCTAAGATGCAGGCCCGAGCGCAGCTGCTTTTATCATTCTGGTGACTCAACAGATCTGGTGAAGAGCGGGGACCTTGGGCCGGTGGCGTCAGAGCAGGGGACGTGGGAGGCGGCGCAGATGGGCGACCTTGCTGCTGTGCTCCACTCCTTTCCCTCCTGGGATGCTCTTCCCGGCCCAAGGTTTTCAGGAAGAGGCCAGGAGTAATTAGTACAGCCAGACCTTGGGAAATGCGGCTTCAGGACAACCGCTAGGGCTCTGGGCTGTGGCCTTGGGCAGGGCCCACGTCCCCAGCGGGGGCAGGATGAGGGCTGGGCCACCAGAGGTCTGGGAGGGCACTGAGAGCTGCTGACTGGATCTCAGTCAGGAACCAAACCCGCCACGCAGTCACAGCAGATGAGGTTACTCTGAGGCTGAGGCAGGAGGATCTCTGCAAGTTTGAGGCCAGCCTGGACTACATAGCAAGAGTCTGTCTCAAAATACATAGTATATAACATAATATAAAAATTACCTCCTGCCTCTTCCCAGCTCTGCATCTGGCTCACACCTGTCCATGAATTCCCCCACCTAAGGAGCGGTGCACTGCAGAGCTGCCCCTTTTCGGGGCCCAGTGCGTGCCGGGCTGGCGCCTCTGGAGGAGGCGGTGATGTGCTCAGAGCTCCCCAAAGCTCATGTCCCACAAGTAAAGAACTGTCCAAGTCATCATGGGGGTGAAACCCTGGCGATTTCCAAACAGGGGACTTTTGTTTGTTTGATATTTTCAGGGTACAGTCGGCCCCACACGTGAGCCCACACAAAACCACCGCTCTAGCTGAAGCGAGGAACCCGGCCACTGTCCCGCGGGCTGGTGTTGGTCTCACCACGGTGCTTGTCCCTCAGCCTCCACCTGCCTGAAGAGCCTGGGGCTGTGCTCTTAGAAAGTCACCAGGTTATCAGGTGTGTTCAGAGCGTTCTATGTGTAAACTTTTCCTGGTCTTTTAAACCAGTTTCTCTCAATGTTAGGCTGCAACAGCTCCTGCCCCAGGATAGGCAAAACCGATACTGTGAAAGTGGCCGTGACCCCCAAATGGTGTACGGATTCAATGCAACATCATTCAAAATACCAACGGCATTTTCACAAACGATCCTAAAATTCATACGGAACAAGGAGAGACCCGGAACAGCAAAAGCAACCCTGGACAGCAAGAGCAAAGCAGGAGGTAATGCAATCCTGGACTGCAAGCTATACTGCAAAGCTACAGTGACAAAAACAGCACGGCCCTGGCACTAAAGCAGGCGCGGCTCAGTGGAACGGAGAAGACGAAGCAGAAACGAGCCCAGGCACGTGCAGCCGTCTGATGTTTCACAAAGCGGCCCAAGACACAGCTGCAAGAAACCAGCCTCTTTAGTAAGTGGTGCCGGGGAACCGGACACCCCCACACCAAGGATGAATCTAGACCCAGGCACCTCACCATGCACTAAGATCAAATCAAAGGGTATTAAAACAGAAGCCCGAGTCTGCTGGACAGCTGTTAGGTAAAACTTGGAGTCCCAGGGCTCGGCAAGGGCTTTCCAAGCAGAATCCCAAGTGCATAAGAAATCAATCAACAGAGTAACACGGGAACATTTCTGCCGGCCGCTTCTCAGATACAGGACCAATATGGAGATGACAGAAACAACTGAAAAAGTTAGGCCCCCAAATTAAAAAGACCCAGTTAAAAACATGGGCAACTGAAATGAACAGACACTTCTCGGAAAGAGTAAAAATGGCCATCAGGTTCATGAAGAAAGGCTCAGCCATGGGAGAAATGCGAATCAAAATAGCGCTGAGATACCATCTTCCTCCAGAAAGAACAGCTATCATTAAAAACTGGACAAAAGTACTGATGAGATTGTGAGGAAAATGAACCCTTCGGCACCGGTGGTGGGAGTGTAAACTATTATAACCACGACGGAAATCAGTGTGGCGATTCCTCGAAGAGCTAAAACTAGCAATTCTATTTAGCCATCTATTCTTCCCCTAGGTATCAACCCCAAAGAGGAAAAGACATTGTATTTCAGTGACACACACATACCTGCTTTCAGGTCAAAACAACTAAATCTTTTTGTTTGTTTGTTTGTCTTTTGTTTTTTGGTTTTTTGAGACAAGGTCTCACTATGTAGTTGAGACTGACCTCGAACTCACTATGTAGCCCAGACTGGTCTTGAACTCACAGCGATCCTCCTGCCTCAGCCTCCTGAGTGCTGGGATTACAGACGTGCACCACCATGCCCGGCTTAAAACAACTAAATCTTTTTGTTTGTTCGTTTGTCTTTTGTTTTTTGGTTTTTTGAGACAAGGTCTCACTATGTAGTTGAGACTGACCTCGAACTCACTATGTAGCCCAGACTGGTCTTGAACTCACAGCGATCCTCCTGCCTCAGCCTCCTGAGTGCTGGGATTACAGACGTGCACCACCATGCCCGGCTTAAAACAACTAAATCTTGGAAGTGGCCTTCAGGTTCATCAACACATGAATGGCTAAAGAAAATGTGGTATTTACACACCATGGAGTACTACCCTGCCGTAAAAAATGACGCACTTGAGCCAGTTGTAGGAAAATGAATGCACCTGAATACTGCAATTTTAAGTGAAACAAATCAGACACAAGAGCTTAATTATCACACGATTTCTCTTACATCAGAGACCCAAAATACAAATAATTTGAAGAACAAGATAAAAGACCCACGACAGGAAACAGGGAGGCAGACTTGTGGACATGGGAAGAGGACAGAGGGGAAGAGGGCGAGGCAAGGGAGGGGATGATTAAGACGGACACACACCAGTTCTCCGAGACGAACATACTCCTGAGGTACCAACACCGTGCGCCAACAGAATGCCGGGCGTGGTGGTGCACACCTGTAATCCAGTATTCAGGAGGCCGAGGCAGGAGGATCGCTTCGAGTTCGAGACCAGCCTGGGCTACACAGTGGGTTTCAGGTCAGTCTCAACTACATAGTGAGACCCTGGCTCAAAAAACAAACAAAAACACCAATAAAAACATGCGTATACTTTATAGTCTGTTTGTTTGTTTTTGAGGTAGAGTCTCCCTTTGTAGTTCAGGCTGGCCCTGAACTCACTATGTAAACCAGACTGGCCTCAAACTCATAGAGATCCTCCTGTCTCAGCCTCCCAAGTGCTTTGATATGCATATAATTTAGAAACTGCTTCCAGCATTTTAATTACACCATGGATTTTGCTGCTTATGTGACTGTGACAATATCAATAGCTGATGGCACTGTGCCCTCACTTGGTGACTGTCTCTTCATTCAACCCTTCTAATTCCCCACACAGCAGTGCTATTTCCAGAGAAGACCACCTGCCCAGTGCAGCCTGATAACTCAGAGGGTGCGCTGTTAACGCTGCTGCTGTGCTTAGTCTACTGGTCTGGCAAAACCAGTTATAAAAGTTTCTTCTGTGGGGTGGGGGTGTTGAGATAGGGTCTCACTATGTAGCCCAGGCTGGCCTCGAACTCGAGGCGATCCTCCTGCCTCGGCCTCCTGAGTTGGTATCACAGTTGTGCGCCACCACGCCCGGCTCATGCCATCTCTCATCTCCTGTGTCAGAAAAGGCTGTCAGCTCAGCGCTAATGCAGAGCCCATCCCTTCCCGCACCGTCCCCATCCCACGTGACGGCACTGGCCCTGCTCTGTCCTCATCCCCGTCTCTGACGTGGTGGTCACTGCTTATGCGACCCCTGCCGTCTCCTTGTTTCTTCTGGTACTGGGCACCGAACTCAGGACCCTGAGCTTGCGAGGCAGCGGCGGCGCCCCTGAGCCGCATCCTCTGCCCGCTCAGGTTCTTCTGCCGGCACAGCAGCCCTTGTGCAAGTGGAGCC